AAGTAGTACAAAACCTATAGTTATTACAACAATTTTTTTTACTATTTTTTATCGTTATCATTTTTTTTTAAATCGTTCACCTTTTTTAATTACTACAAGCATTTTTAATAATTTCTTATTCCAAAGCAGAATATTTTTTGGAGTAGTTCGATATAACATAAAGATCGAATTTTGGAATCGTAACTTATAAGTTATAATAATATAAAAGTTATAGGTACAAAGCACCACACAAAATGTTGGTCCACTACTCTGCTCATCAATTGATGCTCAATCGTCTGACAGTCTTTAGTTTGGCCCAGGAAGATAGTCCGAGTACATTTGTTACCCAGGCATAGACATAGGCAGGTCAGGGAATATTTAGTACATAACTGGCAAAACACAAAAAAAAATTGTATTTGCTTTAGGATACCACACAAGGCAATCATACTCCAGTTTTGGATGGACGGTATAAAACTGACATGTACTTAGCTATTTACAAAATTCTTTTGCAAAACTCATAACAATACCTAGTTTTTTATTTTATTTGTTCCTTGCATCACACATAATATGTAAATTGACAACTTGTAAATAAACAACACATATGTAGACTAGGATCCAGCTAGGGGTTACAGCTTAACTTAAAATGAAAGTCCGCGACATAATCAAGTTCCTACTCGCGGAATATTATTCTCGTCGATACAATAATTAATAAGGACCACGCCGTGGATTGGATTATAGCAAATTTAAAAACCTTACACATTAAGAGATTTAGACATTGACTGATCAATCTTCAAAACCATTTAAAGAAGCTGTCGAGGCTTGCTTGTGTACAACTAGCTGGAAATCATACACGGAACATAATACAGTAATAATTGTAAAAACGTAATAAGTGTAACAGTTTGAAAGACAGATAGGTACCTATAAAAATGTCTTTTGCATTCGGCGTTTATTATTCTATTATAGTTATCTACTTTGTTGACAGTTGTCATTTCGTTGTCGAGAAATAGAATCCTACTTTATATGGTGTATAGCCTGGTATATTATGTAATAGGCACTTTGATGAGTGACATTTTTTTTCCGTATTCACACTCATATTATAATCGTTTTACGTATTTCTGCTCGTCCCAGATGTTTGGTGTTTAAATGGATATATGCACCTGCTTACGTAAAATATTGATCGCACAAAAATTCAACACACTCAATCGCAATAATTTTGCCAAACAAATAAGAAACAATAATTGATCACAAACACCATTTTATCGTAAAATCGTAAATCTTAAGTTGAGTTAGTCGCTGTCTCTTGTCGTCCGCATAGATTACCACAGTCTATACAATATTTATGTTTGTAATGTGATTACATGATGAATTTGTACAGAAAATATTGGCATTGCAAAGAGAATTGTCGATATTTCAAGGCCATGTTGCAAGTATAAAAATAAAAATATGAAATATGTAATATACTATGATATTGCAAGTTGGTATAGGTATATGATCTTTACTACTCTTAAGCTTAATTTACACTTAATTTTGCGTGATTGTCATTAAATATTTTTTAATGTAATAATTCAATCTTTATTTTTCGTTAATTAATTTTGTACCTACCTATCTATATATTGCTTTTGTTACTGTATTGTTATAAGTTGCGATAAATAGTGTGTCGACAAAATTGTTTATGGGTGAACTATAACGCGGTCAATTAGCATGAACTTCTTAGAAGTTTTAAAAATTGTTATGAAGTTTCATAGATTAATGGACAGATTCTTTGCAAAATATCTAAATAGCTACCTAACCTATTCAACATATCATTTTTGCTTATTGTAAAAATAGTACAGATTGTGGTAAACAAAAAATAAAATTGTCCTGTAATAAATTATTTAAGTCATCATTTATTATGAAATGGCAGCAGGGCACCGTTTAAAAGCGAAGGAATATGTAATTACCGACGGTCAGCCTTAAATTTGAAGGAAAAACAAACCTTGGACGATTGTCATCATGGTTTGTCGAGAAAAATACTGTATACCAATTTATTAATATTAATTAAAATATAATATATTATATATTAACACTTAAGACACGCATTTTTTTGTGGCAGACGCCTTTTTGTATAGTACTGAGAGCACCAGATAAGTCTACTGATCGCATACAGGTTAGGCCATAACCTGTACATAGCCTAATCAAATAGATACAATTTATACCATTTGATAACAAATAGAACACGCCGGGCCAGCACAAAATATAAACGGAATTTATTCACGGGATTGGGGTGGGAAACCTGCTGCGATATATAGTGCGCTCCAGGCTGCTGACACATGCATATATATATATTTTTTTTTTTCGGAAAGGCCGACTGCGTAGATATCTACATACAGAGTAAGAGAGAGTGAGAGAGAGAGAGAGAGAGAGAGAGAGTGAGAGAGGATATGGTGGACCTCTGGTAAATAGATGATTTTTCGACCGGACTGCGACGCGCTGCGTTGTATAAAAATCACCGGACGTCCGGTCGGACCGACAGCGTGATTTTTATTTTTTTTTTCCACCGGAATTCCCTAATTACACATGCGATCTCCCGCCGCCATCTATTGTGTTCGCGAATCGGTCGGCCAATCTGTTTCGATATATTATATCATTAGATACACCTATATACCGCGATTTACGCATGCACATACCCAGACACACACACACACACACACACACATGAACAGGTAATAATAATAATAATAATACACGTACATTGAATGTATTTGAGCAGATAAAACACATCTCTCCTGGGGGTAAACACCACCACCCGTGCAACTATATATTCTTGGCGAGGGGGTGTAGTGGACCGGTTAGGGATGGGTTACGGTTGTCGAAGGGGGGTGGGGGTACGCTTTTCGTCCGTCGTCGGCCGACGAAACTCTCGCGTACATATGTGTGTAATAGTATACATATATACAGAAGCTGTACAGTCAGCCGGCCGCGGGTCCGTAAGATATACGGTCCGGCAATCGGCTGTGTGGCAGCACCGATAAATTTCCGAAGAAACCCTCCGAGTCGTGCCCCTCCCCCCCCACCCCTTACTGGTTTGGATGTACACGCGTATAGGATTGTGTATATACACGCACGCGTTTCCGTGGAAAGATCTATGTGTGCGTATAATGTGTATATATATATATATACAAACGATATGCACGAGGTATCCGCATCGCCCGGGTTACCTGAACCATGTTACCGGCGAGAAGGGTAGCGAGCATATTACATTGGTATAAAGATGTATGCGTATAATTTGGTGTACCCGAAAACTGCTTCACCCTTTCCTGGCCCCGAAATCGAAGACTTCCGATTCGTTTCAACTGTGTATACGATCAGAGCGCGGCAAAAAAATCATCAAACGATGGAGTTAATTTTTCCGTATGATACGGATTGAAATGCAACTTACATTTTTTTTTTTTAATCACAAAAACATTGTTTTTAAGCACAAGATTCGCTTTATACCTACATCAAAAAACTTTCATTTGGAATAACATTTTATATAAAGAATGGATGAAATCTGATAACAATTAACCATTTACTACAACGCTAAAATGAAAAACTAAAAAAATGACTTGTCAAATAGAAACAAGTAGATAGGTAGTTTTATTTAAGACTTGCACCGCGACAATCTTCAATCGCGACAACTCCAAATTACGCACATAAAAATAATACAAATACATGATGATAGTTGAATCTTTTTATTTAACATAATGTCAATACAATTTTCGGGGGAATTTTTCTTGTCTTTTTATGACATTAAAACCCACGCCCCAATACGCACGATATTTCAATCACATTCATAAATTGTATACTATTATTATATGCTTACCGAATTATTTTCGCTTTACGTATTCTGTCCTGACAACAGTTGTTATCGTCTGGGCGTCTGGCAACCTGTGGTCTTCGTTTTCCACTTTTCTCTGAGACAGGAGACATGTCACCTCGATAATGATCGTACTTATTTTCATCGTTGTTTATAATATGAAATCTTAACGATTTATTAATACATAGGTAACCAAAATGCATCTGAACTAAAGTTGTCAAATATAATATTATAGTAACGTTATAGACGCAGAATAATGGATTATAGACTTTATTCGTGCATTTTTTTATATACTTATATATAATAATATCCATAATAGGCGTATTTAGCTTATTAGTTTTCGACTCAAAAAAAGTTTAAAAATTTATTATCAAACACGTGTATTTTAGTTTAAATTTTCCTCAGTTCGCAGGAATGTCGGTGTCAATGTTGTAAGTAGGAACCTGGGTTTGTGGTCACCGAGGTGAGGAATCCGCTTTGGTGTATTTTGACTTATAACTTCATGAGTTTCATCGGTTTAGGTGTTCAACTAGCGAAGTACTCAGCGAAAAAAAAACAATTTTAAAACGGGGCACTTTTTATTATTGTTATTGTTGTAGTTTATATAGCATGAAATCAACAAAAAAAATGAATATATTTAAATTGAATTCAGAGACACCAATGGGAATCGATTTAAATCACTCTAAATCGTTCAAAAAGTTAGATCTCGGTGATTTGCTATGATAAACGCATTGTTGAAGAAAAAAGGGGTGAGCTTGCTCGTTGAATCACTCTGTATGTACACGGCTGAACCACAGTGACTGCATCTGAGCTCGACGGTTATTGATACTTGAAAAATAACAACGAAAACCACTTGTTCGCTAAGTTTTTTGTGCTGGGGCGATGCTGCAGATGTATACCACATCGATGTGCGCACATCGAAATTTTGTACCGCAGTTATTTACGAAGGATTCCATTTAATCCCCCCCCCCCCCGAATCGGGACACCAGGAACACGGGGTATGATATGAGGACGTGGATCACCATCGGAATCACATTGCGTTCCTTACGCAGTAATAAAATATACACAAAGTACATGAAATATAATAGTATCAAATATAAACACGGACACACGCACAAACACGTACCTACACAGTACACTTTTAGTATTGCCAATATTGTGAAGGTATTATAATATAATACTATCATAAACATGTATGCACGCGTGCGTGCTTGAATTTATTTATTGTAAACGATCAAAATAAGTATTATAACTATAATAATATGTACAACGGTTTCGGCGGAGACTACGCACGCATATACATCACAACAATGTAAGTATTGTTATATTGTTATTATTACACAGTGCTGAATAGGACGAAATATTATATAATGTATATATAATACGTATATAATTATGCTATAAAAACGTTACAATTAGCCGAATAATACAACACGATTTATAATAATATTTGATTTGCGTGATATTATAATAAATATAATATATTATAATAACTGCAATTATATAGGTACATTACAAATCAAAGCGACGAATTACTCGTATAACACCGCATAATCGCCGGCACGCCCGGCCGCGATTTTCATTTTAAATTTTTTATCATACAAAATGCACGAGGATAATAACGCACTTATACTAAACCAAAAAAAAAAAAAAAAAACCAAAAACACAAAAATTTAAGGGCGTAAAAAATTACTACAGTCCGTTCCGGTTCCGGAGGATGGGACGATGCCGCGCCACAGCACTACATTTTGACAGTGTGACGATTACGTGCACGACGACGCTTCCGCATCGGATGTTGAGAGCAATTCACGAACGACGACGATCACCTGCCGGACACTAAGGTGGAGGCTATCCAACAGCATCCGGCAGACGCGATCCAACCGAAGACGCCGTCATGCGACCACCGGACCGCGTCCGAGTTGAGCGAACTGTTGTCCGTCGGCAGCGAGTTGAAAACGGTTTCCGATGGGCCACCGTTGGCTCCGTCGTTGTCGTCGTCGTCATAATCTGCGTGGACGAAATCGCAAAACATCGCAATATTATATCATAATCAGTTACCATTTTTAATCTCTCTGATATATGAAAAAAAGTGTTTATCTAATATAATCGCCATTAGCAACCACGTAAAGAAATAGTTATTATTATTAATTAAATTCTTAATTACTATAAATTAAGACGCTGTTATTATTATTATTATTATTATTATTATTATTATAGTTTAATTGTTCTTAAGATATTATTATTATAATTTAATTATTAATTAAAATTCTCTACCTATTATTTAAGTTTTATAAATTTTACTATGTGGCTCATCGCCTTTATCCTCGCTCGTTAATCGACCTTCAATTTATTTTTTGTGAACAAAGACAGTATTACTCGAATATAAAGATTATAAACTATTCACATTTTAAACAAAATATAATAGACATAAATTATGTAACGCTCCATAAATACAATATTTTCAATTAATATCTCTTAAAATGTTCATTGTTTCCCAGACAACTTTTACATCTTGAAAATGCAGCGTATAAAAAGAACTCTAGTAATGGTTGTCACGTTATTTATTTTACGAAACAATTTTTTTAAACTTTTTGTGTAATAGGAGATTTTTAAATATTTTAAAGTTCATGATACAAAGGGTGGCTACCCTCGTGTCGTGGGGGATGAAACACAGGAGGGTTGTCGTTGGCCGATGAGAAGTCTTAACCCCTTGGGGCTGGTGAGTGAAGCGATCTGGGGTTAGAGCCCCTAGTATTATAGTATAATAATGTCACTTATGAGTCAAGGCAATTGAAATTATTGGAAGCATTGGCTATCTATCTACAATATATAAAATGCATGGTATAGGAATTTAGAAACTTATTTTTTACCAACTGACCATCGTTTTATCTCTAACTAATGATAAGGACACTGAAAACAAATTTTGAACTTGACATGAGTCATAAAGTCTACTTGATATTGACTTTTTCACATTTTCGATTTTTTCCCTTGTGTTTTTAAAAAAAAATATATGTGAAAAATTTGAAGTTCCAATTTTTCCAATTCACTTTGGCGTGACTTATATAGGTTAGAGATGAAATCGGACGTGTGGGTAAGTCGGTTTCGAGTATAGACTTAACGACAAATGTCTATATCGCACATGTGATGGACAGGGACAGCAATTCACCATTTGTAATCCCCTTAAGACACGTGCGAAGGTCGGAGGTAACGAGTATTTCGTTATGAGGTCACAGGAGTGTGTTAAAAAAATCAATATGATGGACATAGGAAAATAAAAAAACACTGAAAACTATAAGACAGTAATGACTAAAATAACAATACTGGCGATATAGATTCAACCAATATTTATATCTGATTTATTATTTCGGCGACTTATTTTAAGAATAATATCACCATGACATTTTGAGTGATTATTGACGCTAGTTAAAGTCAAATTGTAGGCACAGTATGCAAATGGTTTCCCGAAACTCCTGCGTCATACGAAAAGTGTAGGTATAACAATGAACAAACCATTCGATTGTATTCTATATTTAAAATATTCCTCAAAAAATAATAATTTTTTAGTTTCTAAGCGAACTGCGCACAAATCCCACGATAATTTTTTCATAAATATTGCAATAACACTGGACTACATCCCTAAATGTTCCCTGCACAATAAAAAGAAATACATATTTCAATGTCTCTAAGTTAACACCATTCTTTCGAGTGGTTTAATATAAGCTATTTAGCAAAACATATGTTGCATGTTAAAATTAAGTATAAACACATATATTAAAAATAATTCATTGGTATCTGACTCACCTTTGCGATCTTCATCCGGTTCTTCAGTAATCGCCATGGGTCTCGACGGCACTGCGATTTCTGTGAACAAAATCCAACAGTCAGTCGATTATACATCCTGTCCGGTGGTTTACACTACGGACCGTCGAACCTTAACTATATATTTAGAGACGCAATAAAAGCGACGTTTATTTGTAACGATCGCTCTATTTCTCTTTCCACCCACCTCCCGGGTTATAATTCTTTCTCCTATAAGCTATGCTCCCTTGAAACTATCTCCTCTCATCTAACACATAAACTGACGTGGACATATATGTAGGTACATATTATATTCGACCGATGCATTTGTTTCCGTCGATGCAATCGATTACCGTTTTGTAGATAACGAAACCTCGATGTACCTCTATAATAATAATAAAGTGACGAGTTCAACTATATACTGCAGCAGTGGTGACGTTTACGTTCGCTGCCACAGATGTTGAAGATTTACTAGAGCCGTCGAGTAAAAATATTGTGGTACGATATCGTTTTCGTTAAATGTCGTCCGAAATTGATTATAGCAAAGATAATATCATAATCTAGAATATAAATAAGCGTGGTCTTAGTCAGCTCCAGTAGTTACAATTCGTCAGAGAGTTTCGACAAAAAATAGATGGACCTAATTAGATTGTAAAATTTTAAAATCATCGAAATAGTGTTTGGTTATAATTGAAGAAAACTATTATGGTTGATCGAACATAATATAGTTGGAAAAATATTTTTTTTCGATCGGTTATTATAACAAACTCTTTAAAAGTTAATCATACGCCATTTTTATTTTTACGGAGTGAATTACGAAAAACATTTTACAGTTCAAACATTAATTGACATTTTACAGGGTTTCGGGAAACCTAATAAATTCGTGCTTTGAATAATTCATCGGAGGAAACTTAATATTACACTTATTATTACTACAAAGTCAGAAAAACATCAATAGCATTTTTTATAATATATATGTATATACAATACCATTTTATTATACATTATCTTATGTTCCGGAAGACGGTGGTATAGAGGCGTGAAGATATTGGTTTATACGACGATATTGATGTATCTTTAATACAATATAGTAGGTATACGGGTATATAAACTGCTTTTGTTATTACAGTATTAACGAAAAATTTAGATTCTTCTCGACAAATTGTTTTATAAGAGTATATTTATAAGGCACGACCGTTAATGTAAATGAAGAAAAGTTTATACCGAAGTATATGCATACGCAAAACCATCGGAACACCTGCACGCGCAGATGCTAAACAAAAAGTTATTGTGACATGCATATTTTAATATTTAACCGTTTGTTTGCGATTATTAGTGAAATAAGACGATAATATTGTGGTATTATATCATGTTGAATATAATACGTTGTTCGTTCAAAAGTAAACATTTGTAGCTTCAATACCAATATTATATAATAGGTATGTAGGTAACTTGCATAATATAGGTACCTACACACTAATTAAGACGTTTTATGCCATGGTTGTACAATGTTTGAAATGTATTAATAATTATTAATCAATAATATTATGGTGCAAGATCAAAACCATTTCAACGGATAATAATATCCAAACATGAATTTAATCAAAATAGTCCATAATATAATGGTTTCGTCGACACAAAACAAGGACGAAAACTATGAAGTGCAGTAGGTATTAAATATTATGAAGATTTCGCTAAACCATCACTCAGTAACCGTATTATATTATGATATTATGTAACATACATATTAGAATTTCGTTTGTGTATTTTATCGTACCATATTAAAATTATAGCACTAGAGTTTGCAAATGAAACATTTTTTCCAGCCATATAAGTATACCGCGAATAATATCGTCTGTATTCTGCTATCAGTCATATCACGGTAAATATGTACGTACGTAATATGACGAAGATATTTTCACGCGGCATTAACTGCGCCGATTGATATCAGGCATTTATTAATAAGACATGCATCGTTCCACTCTGGAAGCATATTTACGATCAAATAACGAGACGAATATTCTAACTGAACAAATACGGATCCTGAAGCTGTTTATCGGATTTACAAAGTAGGCGGAACCCAACCCAACGGTTTTGATATCGTATATAACCTAACCTAACCTAACCTATCGTTGAGTATATTATAATATCATATTAATATGTTATATTATACATACAATATTATATTATTAACCAACCCGCCACGTCACTTCAATATAAGTTAATGACTTGCACAATGCACTATTTGAATATTTAATGGGAATTTACAATTTAATTTTTTAATATTTTACATGAATAAATTAGCAGTGCAGTACATTGGATTTACCAAATTATTGTCGACTACCTACCTATTAAAACAATTAAAATCGTATTACATAATATAATACATTATTAATATAGGTATTATTTAACTAATAATTTTCGAAAATTTCATAACCAGAAAAAAAAGTTTCTGAAAAATAAATTTCATATATTAATGTTACTGTTTAGATCAGTACCCACACAAGATGTACGACTTTGGGATAGTTTAACTCACTCGCTTCTGGTTTTGCTGATCATAATATAATATTATCACATTTGAGACATGATTGCGAGGTGTTGGAACAAAATATGGGTTTCTTTTTATATGAAATAGGTACGATAAACAGCTAAGGTAATAATTCACAAAGCTTGCTCAAATTCAAATTATGATTTTTTGAATTCATATTACGCATACATAAAGACTATAATATTTTTAAATACTTATATTTTTTATACTTTATTTAAGGAGTATTTTATAGCGGTACAAACTTTTTATTTCAAATGATGACCAACCTTTTTTACTACTTTTTTTATTATGCTCATGCACTTTTTTTTCAAATGTTTGTATATCTAAATCAAAACTCGAATTTGTAGTTTCTGAGCTATTAAAATGTATATAAGTACTGAGAATTAATATCCTTAAAAATAGTTTTACACAAATAAACAATAAATATATATAATATAGGTAGGCCCCATATCTTCCAAACCTATTATCATGAACCATAAACCTATTATCCTCAGTGGATAGGTACTTAAAGTTTAATAACTCAGAAACTACTAGTTTGAATTTCTGTTAATAAAAGTACATTAAAAAAAGTCATCTCCTTAATCATTTTACAGTAAAAGACGGTTCTAATTTGAAAAAAAAAATAAGTTTTTATCCCCGCATAAGGACATTATATTATAACTCCTTAAGCTGCATAAGCAATCTAAGAATTTGCTACTTAATTATACCTGTACTGAAAAAAATCCGAAAACCAGAATCAGATTAAATTCATTATTGTTAAAAGTAAAAATGGGGGTGACCATGGTGCAATTTGACTTCTACAATATAGATTTACCTGCAACACTCGCCTGCGCGTTAGTGCGATTTATTATCGAAACAATCGTTGCCGACAAATCCGGAAATTGTCTGGTCCGGGCGCAACGACAAACGCTTGAAATCACAGCGTGAATCAACCCCGAAAACGTCGGCCTGACAAATCTGAATAACGCCAAGTGCTCGGTAAATATATTATAGGAATGGTTATCTGACTTCCGACGACGATCTACAAATTATACTGTAACGCAGCTTTCGAATTAATTAGTGTGTGACGTGCGACAGAAAATTATAAACGATTTAACCGTATAATAACTACCTACGTCCTATAATGCCAACTGTTTATTAATAGTGTTAAGTCAGGTTCACAGTTATGTCATCTATCGTGGTGTCGCAGCGACCCAACTCTGGAAATTTCCTGGTAGATCATGGTTGGTGAATTATACCATGGTTACCAATTACCAAGACCAATCAGAATACGACAAAAACTACACGATACGACTTACGACGAAACTGTAAACCCGGCTTAACACGCTGTTAATAAACGGTTTACGCGTGACGGTGTGATATAATAATACTATGTGTTACCACGTAGGTTAGCAGTGGTAAGTACCTCGGACTAAGACCTACCAGCCATTTTTTTTGGATTTATTTATTAATCTATACTCGGGAAAAACAACAAACAAGTACAAACATGTATTAAAATTGAAATATTATTTATAAAATAATTTTTCGGTAACCTTGGTTACCAAAAAGTTGGATTGTCTTCGATTATTATTGATTTTTTAACGTAAATATGTTTTTAGCTCGATACAACTTTTTTTAAACACAATTCTTTGTGAAACACTTTGCTTATCAGAATTATCACCAAAGAAACATAAATCAATAAAAAATATTTAAAAATAAATCTATAATTCTTAATTTATTAAATTCCTAACAAAATGTAGCATGCTACTAGATATTTTTCTATAAAGGCTTTGGACTAAATGCTAAATAATTTTATGAAGACAGGTCTCTCATAAGTTATAAATACCGGAATTCAAAAAAATGTCGATCATGATTCCAAAAATATTTTTAATAAAATAATAAAAGTAATAATAATAATAAATTAAATTAAATTGACCTACTTAAAAAATAAAATTAATTATTTTAAGAGCAATGACAAAAAATATTTCATGAAATACTCGTATTCCTAGTAATATAGGCGGTCGTCTTTGTGCAGAATCGTTTTTGTATGCACTACAGGTTTATCATTGAATTAAAACTTAACACATAAATTACAGTGACCTACTTTATGATGAGGTACACTCGACACCTATACTATACCAGTTACCTACCTGACGGCTTATTTTATACGTCGAAAAAAAATGTTGTATTTACTAATAATTATAGACATTTATTGGAAATCACATACAGCCATATTATTTGGTAGTTACTAAAAGAAAATAGCTCATTTCATACTCTCAATATTCTCGTTAACACATACAGTTGTAAAAATGTAATTACACGCTGAATGTGATCAAATCAAAACGAGACGAATTTTATTTACTTGTTTGAGTTTCATTAAAAGTCGCAAAATACACACTTAAAAATTATCCAATGATAAACAGTAACGAAAAAAATGTAAAAAATAAAATGAAATGGGCGTAGAAGTTCAACTGGACAATAATAATTATATAACAGAGATTATACGAAAATGTTCTAAAATACATTATTATATTTATACATTTTTAATCTTACCCTCCAAACTTCTCAATCAGCCCTAAAAGACAATGTTTGAAGATACGTACTTATTATACAGACATGTGTTATTTTTTTAAAACTCGAATTACAGCATTTCCGCGCCTACCCCAAAAAAGAGTCGCCACCGCTGGCCTATCGCCTATGATAATGATACTTTTATCACCTGATTACACGCGGGACGAATTTTACAATAATATAATACATTCCTGGCAGTACCTATATGATGTTACTTCGTGTAAATATTATGGGACAACTGACAGAAAAAGTGTATAATAATAATAATAATAATAATACAGCGACAGCAGGTTATTTCTCGACGATATCAATACATGCACCGATAACGGGCGTGATTGATGTTTCTTTTGTGGGAATCTCTCGGGCATAAGAAAACCAAAAGTCAAAGTCGTGTTATTTTAGATGTGTATCGTACGTACCGCGACAAGTTTCGTTTCGTTTTATTTTTAAACCGGAAACGTATATTGGGAAAACAATACCTACGCACTGCTTCGCCCACATATAGCGAACAATACTTACAAGCCAGTTACAGCTGATTTTGTGTATGTATATTGTATATACTATCATAGTATCGTGATATTCTAGTCGAGTTTTCGTTTTTGAAAGAAAAGGTTTATATACGATTTGAAGCACTGTTATATTTTTATGAAAAAAATCCAATTATTTATCTAAGCGGTTTTCGGAGTTTTACTATAATTTTATAATCAAAATAATTTCTGAAAATGTTGCCGCATAAAATCTATCCAGTAGAATTCCATACAGCTATAGTTAAGAAACTACATTTATATTTGACACAGAACAATATTTTGCTGTATCTAATCATTTGTCGTTTTTTTAAAACCATTCAAAATAAATAAAACGCTACTACACACAACAAATTGTCTTTTGTATCGTATTTCAATTTGTTATATTATCTTGTTTGTAAAAATTACGCAAATAACCATCAATGGTAAAGAACACGGAACCACTTGAGAGTAATTTTAAATAAGTATTGAAATATATTAAATATATTTATGATTTAAAATGTTCGTTTTTCTCAATGCACCATACAAGATCTCCCGGAGCTGGGAACCCTCGAAACATTATCCACCATGACCACTACAATATATCTTAGATTATCAGTGGAGTGGCCCACTCTGTATGTGTATACTCAAAAAAGCACAGCGGCGATTACGCCCGACAATGGTATATCAATAATTTCATCGGTAGTTTTTTTTTTTTTTAAACTAATTTGTGTATCATAATATATTACATCGTATCATAAATTTAAATTGTCTATCGCACTGCTGAAATCCGCGGGGAAGGTATAAAATACGAAACAAAAATCAACGGACTATAGCTATACACAAACTGAGAGGTTTATCAACGAGCCGTCTGCTAGTGTGATGTTTATACATGTGTGATGTGTGTGCGCGTGTGTTCGATGGCGGTTATTCATTGTTGCAGTGCCTGTGTAGGCTTCGTGTATATCACACACACACACACATATATATTATAATAGTTTATAGTGTGTTAAACGAGGCCGGGTCTTTTACCCGATTCCGCTCCATTTTAAAGCGTTCCTTGAGCGTAAAAAAAATGGCGTTGCGTGTTCTTCTTAAAACGACTTAACCGATAGCCGAATACTTATAAAGTGTTCGTCTCTTATAGTCGTGCACCTAGGTGGGGGAGAACGGAGAAGGTTAAGTTTTAGGTTCGTGCAAGTCTCACAACATTTGTGAGCTGTTGTCGTGTCTCGGTTTATATATAGATATGTACACCTATATCGATCGCATAAGTTTTGATCAAACGTTTTCAACGCGAATTTCATCAGTGAAATATGCGACTGTGAGTACTTATTGAGAGGAGATGTCATGAACAAAATGTTGTGGTCGTGGTAGTGGATTTTTATGTTTAAACGTGGATTTTCCGAATAAATTACGAGATACACTCTAGAGTGGCGCAGATGGAGGTGAAGCAGGTAACACATAAGGGTGCCGGGCAGCACATGTACTTTGAACTACTTAATCCAATAATAATATCTAAAGTCTGTAACGAGACAACGAAAATATGCTTCAAAAATATAAAAGAACCTAGTTGCGGGATTTTATGGCAGTATTCGAGTCAAAAATAACAATAGACTGCTGCACCGTTACAGTTAAGCGCTATATAATATACGGATTATACTATACGATAATCGAACTAAATAATCATTACATTTCTGTAACGAGAAAACAAAAGCTGTTTTTCTACGTTGACAGCGCTCGAACGGCTTAAAATATATCCAAACAGATAATAATAATATTATAAATTAAAGGTATATAAAATATTAAAACACACTTACGGTCTAGTTTGATGAATCCGTCGGTTTCACCCAGTGAATTCTTCGCCACGCATTTGTATGATCCGAAATCTTGTGGTGACAATTTCCTAATCTTCAGGATCATGTACTTGTTGTACCCGCTGTCTGTGGATATGGCCTCATATTTTTCGCCTGAAACCGTCATATCTACTTTTGTTCATTTTTTACACAATCCAGTCACCTCGTTGCTTACCCGAGACGATCATGTCGCCCTTTTCGGTTGTCCAGAAATTTATGGACGTTGGAAACGCTTCGGTGTGACATTCCAATTTGATGTCCTGACCAATATAGCCACCCACTAGTTGATTTGAAATAGTCAACATCGGAGGAACTATAACACAAACGTCAAATACTAGTTAGTCAATACAAATGGTCTACACCAAAGTACATTATACTCGTATAATAATATTGTTTAAATAATCGCAAACACAAGACTAAATAAAAAGTTGCAATAATAAGTCTCCTAGAGGGTGGATTCCAAGAGGCTTATTATGTGGAATGTACTGCAGATTTTTCAGTATTTTCGACGATCTTCGTTACTGAGATTCGCGGACCATATTCTACAGTATAGAATGATTATCATAATATGTATTTATCAATTTTTTATTAATTAGAGTTTCTTAGACAAACCTCGAATGATAAAATATGTTAAGTAAAAACGTTGGGTCTTAGAAATTTGATTCAATGTCATTAAATATATTATTTAAAATTGTTTATCAATAAAAAATAATCTACAGTTGAATACAATTAATATGACAATAGTGTCCACCAGTATTAAAAAAACACCTATTACATTATAAAACATAATACGTTTAGCTATCTAAATATATACATCCATGACACAATAAATTAGCAGCGTCATTCACTATATAGGTATAAGTATAACTCATGCGTCATAAAGCATGGGTTTTAATGGAATTATGGTTACATATTTTTTTTTAAATTTTTGTCATAATTTTTACAAATGTAATAGCTTTAAATTAATTATTACAATTTATTTTGCCTATTTTGATGATTATTATAGTTATTACTTATTACATATTTTTGCATATTTCGACAACATTTGATAATTTATGTTTTATACCATAAATATTATTTTTGAAATAAGTTGCATATTTTCATGATTTTATATGGCACATTATGATACTTTTTAGTGCATAAAAATCCACGTTCTAGTCAAGACGAATTCGTAGGTCTTACGATTACATACAATTTAAGATACGGCAAAATATTAAAATATAACTTTTATTTTAGTAAAATGTTTGAATAAAAAAATTGTGATTCGAGTAATACTATACAACGGCGGTGTTTCATATTTGAATAGTCAAACGATATAACTACTATTATGGTACAGATCTCGAGAATACGCTCATATTTTGTTTACTATATATTCAGAATTCACTATCGAATTCCCCAAGTTAGAAACGAAATTACTTGGTGGATTTTTTATTAAATCTCGGAAATACGAAACACAAACATTGTACGTATAATACATGCCAAACTCACGGCCCATAGAATGTATCTATGCCATATAGATAGGTATAGGTTATAGCTAAATTGTCCATTTAATTAATACGAACACTGCTATGAAACAAATAACGTTTTGAATTACTATCCATAGTTTGCCCAGTCAATAGAATAACCGTCAGAATAAACGTGATCTTGATTTGTAACGATTATCGTTACGATAATCGTTTTGGCTAGATAAACTATACTACTATACACAACGAATCCGGTAAATTCGGTACGATTAAATACGTATAATATAAACTTATACAAATGTATATTTAGGTATTATCTAAAAATACTTAAATCAAACGAGACTATGATGAATAAAAGAGGTTGCATTCTATAGGTCGCGGGTCGTGGAGATTTTATTAAACAATTGCAAGTTAAACATAAAATTGTCTACTCGTATTGTTAAACGTTCAAAAGACATCGTTTTAAATGAATACAAATGACAGCTGTGATATCAAAACAACATAAATATTTCACTAAAATGGTTTATTAAGTGGTGTACGCGGTAGGTACGTTTCCAACGATATATTTTACTTGTCGCGAACGATAAAATTCCACTTAAGTAAAATTTATTATTCGTTGTGGCTTATAATATATTATAGACTTATATATATAAATACTTACATTGGACTTTGAGCGTGACCCTTTTGCTAATGGAAGGAGGCACACCGTTTGAGGCTATGCACAAATAAGCACCCATGTGGAGCCTACTAACTCTCGTGATGTGCAACACTTCGCCGTCAATAAAATTAACTGAAACAATATAATAACAAAAAACTGTTGAGTCAATATATATAAATATATAGTAATACAATTGCAATTATTATAGCAGTCAATTAATTTTAATTTCCTTCATATTCAAATTTCAATTTGTCATTCATATAAATAATGTAGCACTAAACAACCATCGGAAAATTGTGCGAAAAACTACCTAATTAATATACGAGAAAATAAATATAATATAATAATATATTGAAATAGGTACAAAATAAATAAATTGGAAGATTATAGGTTCTAAACGTACTTGTACAAGTATGATCGTTCCTTTTTTACTTCTATAAAGTATTTATTTAAATTCTGATTTTTGGAATTTTTAAGAATACTCAGCCATATTAAATTATTTATAATTATATTATAATATTTACGGTGATACAAACTTTTGTTTTTCAAATGAAACATCCATTTGCTATAAATTATTCTGCAGACAATTTTTTTGGAAATTTTTAAGTGTCAATCCAGATTGAAATTTGAATGAGTAGTTTCCGGGTTATTCAAAATGATGTTCTAAAGAAAATTATTATACTCCACGATGATAGATATAAAGATGAAGGGGTTTTAACGATAAGAAAATTTTAGTAATTAACATTAACATTATATAATTTATAAAAATTGTCCGAGTATAGTAGGTACTAGAGTCTAGTAACTAGACTAAACATTGCATATATTTTATATTTTAGTAAAACAATTTTTAAGGAAAAATTGTGGGTACAATAACATTTCAAAAAAAATATTTACTTAACAATGAGGTAACTGTAAAGAAAGAAGGTTTTTATTTGAAAAACAGAAGATTTTATCGTCACAGGACATATATTCTGATATGGTACGAAAAATTCAAGTTTTTAAAAATATGGCCATTACGTATTTATATACTTGGACATTTAAAAATTACAGAATTTTAACAAAATGCATTACTAAATGAGAAAGGGAGTGAGCATGCTCGGTAAATCAATCTGTACACTATAATGTAATCCTGTATACTAGCAACCATTAAAAATCGTTTATACGATCGAAAAGGACTGTACATGAAGTATGGTAAAGTAAAAAGTAATAATATACATAATACAAGTATTATAATAATGTACAGGTACATGAAAACCGAAGTTATCAATTGTTAAATTACATATTATATTTTACCTACGCATATGATATATTATATATATCGTCGTACAATTATCCACTGCACCTGTACATGGAAATGTGTCAAACGGTTGGATAGGTCTTAAAACTTTTCTGATTACCGCCGTTCCTTATTCACAGTTTTTTTTTAAACTTTTTAAAAACAATTTTTTACGTTTTCATTTGTATATGCGAATACGACGCGTAACGTAGGTACCGAGTGGAGTATAATATTGTGTAGGTAGAGGTATATGGGCAAATTACATTTCGCAAAGTTTATACAAACGCGATATACTCGCGCATACGATTTTCATTACGAGATAAAAATAATAATATCATAAAATGTACGTTATCCAGCGGTGGTTTTCAAAAGACCGCGAGCATTAAAATTACGGAGGATAAAATGACAGCGTTTCGCGTAACGTTTCTCGCGCGCTAAAATATCGCACCGTAATTGCGTGCGAAATAGAGAAAGTTTAAAAGTTAACAACGCGGTATACTTATATGCGAGTGAGCGTGTGTGTGCGAAGTTTGAAAGTCGAAAACGTGATGATCCATAGTACATATATAATAATGGTCCGGATGTGTACAGATATTGAGAAAAAGATAACAGAGTTGTTAGTTTTTTTTCTTTTTATCGATTGCTGGCGCATTAAAAATTCAATCGACCAAAATAATAACGTTCGTAAGACACATTTGCATTATGAACATGTACGTTTTTCAATTACAGTTATCGCGATATTATTATTATTATTATTACAACGCACTTTTTAATGTTTTCGAGCAGTTCGATGTCTGAAACAATCCACATGTTGTATACACAATACATACCCGTACACGCACAACAAAGTTTGGAATGAGACGTCTTACACGATATTATAGTAATACATTTCCCTACACTGTATGAGTATATACATTGTATAAAGTATACGATTACAGAGGTATTTTAGGAAAAAAAATATTGAGCGCATTGCAAGTACCTATATAATAACCGTTTGTTTTTCTCGATAAGACAGACTCTATCTGATAATATGCAAATAGCGGTCTAAACGGCTAAAAAATTAAGTCGAGAGTGTTATGGATATTGTTAATACAGATACTTATTTAAAATGAAAACAAGGTTTCAAAAAATTAAATACAATAAACTTGTGGAAAAAATATTATAACATTTTGGAGCACTATAATTTGTATAAAACTTAATAATTGTTATTATAACAGGCGAGGTGTGCAGTAAAATGTAATTGTCAACTATATCTCTCTCTCTCTCTGAGGCTTCAATTCGTGAAAATCACTACATAAATGGATGTAAATTGTTCCAGTTATCGGAACGACAAATATTCAGCAGTAGAAAACGCTATCAAACACAATACAGTTACCTATTGTCAATTTATTGCATGTTTAGAGAAAAAATTTTCTTGAAAAATTTCGAATAAGAAATAAAAATTACATGCTGCAGTGTGCATATACATATATGCTCGCGTGGTGAGTGCCGAGTATTGATATTATATTTTTTGGGTTATTTCGGTAGAAAATAGAAACGGACCGAGTAATGGCTGTTATAGAGGAAAAGAATATTACTACTTTTATCGTTCGAAGATTGCACCGGCGGGGGCAGCGATCGTTATTTGTTTTGCGGTCTGAGGATATATTATACATCCGATAAGGCGAAATGCGGTACACGCAATAATAATGATACGCATAACACTGCAACAATAAGTATAATAAATCCGTGGAGACATTTACATTTATTAAACATCGGCGGCAATCGTCGTTATCGATATGAATATAACTAAAATACTGCTACGACGATACGATTGGGAAAGTTTCGGATCGGCCACCGCCGCCGCCGCCGCCTACAGTGGACCTCTGAGAGCAACGGGTACCCTTTGTCACCACCCCCTCCGGGCGTGTGGGAGGGTGTATATTATTATTATATAAGTATTACAAACGAGAGCGTTTAAAATGTAATAAAATATGTAAATATTATTCTTGGTCGAAAAGTTTCCGCGCGGCTCACTTTAGGCGATAGTCGGTGCGGCGAGGGTGGGTGGGTGGGTCGGAGGGCGAGATGTCGCGGTGAGTGGGACAACTTATGAATATTCATTGTAAAACGGTGCGGAGGAGCTGTGCAATCTAATGTAATAAATATATATGTAGATTGCGTTTTTATACTTATTGCGCCGCCTCTTAATCACGACCGATGAAAATATAACGAATGCAAAAAAATCATTGTCGTTTATATAGTATTGCTTTGATTCAGTATAATACCTACGTTTTGCTCGTCTTTTGTTGAGAATAATAAAGCGAGCCGATCCTTTCAAATCGTAAATGGTCGAGGTGCGCGTATAATAAGGAAAACGACAAAAATATTCGAATTAAACGTGTTTTTATTTTTTCCCGAATATTGTTCGTCGAGTCGCTTTAAATGCGCAAATAAATTTTATAATTTTATTCAAAGCAAAATGTTCCTACATCTATATTAGAAAAAATTATGTTTGATTCAATAGGTTTTATTAAACTTTGCAGACACCGGTTCATTGTTACAACAATACTGCAGTAAGCACAATGTACAGAACACAGATTATTGAAAGCAAAGTCCAACCTTTAGGAAAGAGTGGGCCAAATTGCTACAGCCAGAGGAAGTTATTGAGGACTACATACATTTTTATAGTTATTATTGTTTTTTTTTTTTTTAAATTTAATAAATCAATATTCTGATCGATTGAAGTTCAGGCAATTCGCAAACAACTTCCGATGAGCTTCTCCAAATAGTGGACTGATTCTAATGTTTGTAGTTTTTCATATTTGAAAACATTTGTTCGCCGAAAAGGGAAATCATGAATGATAATTATCACATTATGTGTGACCATGGAGAACTGTTTCAATTTTTTTTTTTTTGGTTAGATTATCAGAATATCCAATCGTAACTCAAAATATTCCATTTTAAATTTGATTTGCACAATATTAATATCAACCGAAAACGGTGTACCATAACTACAAAAAGTTCACTCTTCTTACGAAAATCTTGAAAACCATAATGCTCGAAATTGTTAATTAAAATCGTGAAATTTCAAAGCACCCGGGATTGGCGTTGATGGATTTTTTCAGTATTCCGGTTCTAATACCGCAAACCGGTATCCGATTACATTACCATCAACACTATTGAATTACCAACTACTTCTCATCCCAACAAATTCATAAGTCACTCCCAATTTGCATAACAGATTATAATATTATATCGTTATAGACTGTCTCACGATAGAAAAGTACCACGTCTTGACCAATAAACCAGTAAATTTAGCACAGCCTCCTCGCCTAGGGTTGGAACTTGGAACTCCTAGAAGCGATCCTGAGAAATAAGACCATTTGGCCAAAAGGTCAAAAACTGTGAAAATGACAATTTTTTCAGTAATTATTTATTTTTATTTTGGATTGTCACTTAATTTATGTATTATTTATATATGTGTTAAAATATTATTTGATACTTCAATAATTTCAAAATGTCTTATAAAATCCTACTATAGCAGTATGCAAGATAGTAGTTTATTATTCTGTACAGCTTGCATTTTTATCAGAAAAAAAATAGGTACCTAATTTTGATAAGAATAAGTATCTAATACCAATAGCCTAGCTATTTATACTACTGTCTACTATAGCTACTACAAGATACTCATAAAACCTTTTAAAGTATTTTTCAGATTTGAAAAGAATGAAGAAAATCTACAATTTGTACATAGTTCAGTATTAGCAATGTTCTTAACAAATACCTGAAAAATGTAGATCAGTGAAACACAAAAAATCACATTCATTGAGAATTTGAGGATATCAGAATATTCGAAACACAGAGAATTGATTTT